ACAGAAGAAAATAAGGCTAAGCAGTTTATTCGTAGAATTAATTGAGCAAGAGAAATCAGGTTATGTATAAAGAAAGGAACTAGAAGCACATTAGTCAGGGAAATTTCAGGAGTTAGGGTTAAAGTGCAAGTGCATGTCACTTTGACTTTATAGCCATTAGGAAAAGTAACCAAGTAAGGAAAAATAAGAGGTTTAACATCAGACAAGAAGGAAGAGTGTGGTGTCAAGTGATTAGTTGCACCTGAATCTATAATCCAAGGACTATTCTCTATCTTAGAAAAATTACAAGTAAGAAACCTAGAACTATTGAAAGTAGGGTTACCTATCAAACCTGCAAAATTGGCAGAACCAATAGTGATTTCCTGATGACTAGTTTGTATTTTGAATTGTTGCAGAAGATTCATTAGCTGCTCAAATTGCTCCTTAGTGATGCTTGTATCTCTAGAGTCTGAAGTCACTTACTTAATATCACCACCAACCTCAGGCTGACTTTGAGATTGTGTGTCAGAAACTTGAGCAAAAGTTGCAGCTCTTTTGAATTTAGCTGGGAATCTAGGTGGAAAGTCATGGAGCTTGAAACATTTTTCAATTGAATGTCCAGGATTTTTACAGTATCTACACACCAAATTATTTCTCTTAGATGTGTCAAAATTAGCTCTCTGATTATAAGGTTTTTGTGTACCAGTGGAGAATGCCATAGAATCAGAATTGAAAGAAGGGATAACAGCTTGTATTGTGGATTGGCTCTCATCATTCAAGAGCATGGTGTAGACACTGTACTTATCAGGTAGTGGCTTTATCAAGAGAATACTGCATCTAATTGTGGAGTAGGACTAGGGGTGTTCGTCGGTCGGTACGGTACGGTATTTAGACATTTCGATTCGGTATTTTCGGTATTCGGTTTCTTAAAATCCTACACCAATACCGTACCTAATTAAATTTGGTATGGTTCGGTTTTTCTCCTTTCGGTTTCGGTTTATTCGGTTTGGTAATTTCGGTTTATTCGGTTTGAATACTAACTAGTGCATAGAGCCATACACTCTAATATTCTTAATTAAAGTACTCAAAAATACAAAACTAAAAATATTTGTTGACAAAAATTTTGTCCAAAACTAGCAAATATCGACCCAAATAGAGAAAATTATACATAAAAGAATATTTGATCATTAGATATGTCTTGTTACTTGTTTAGAGTTAATTGATAAACTTTGAGAATAAATGAAAGTAAAATTTTAGATATTTTATATTTATATTATAATTGATAATATGTGTTTTGCGTAATATAATATATATTTCGGTACGGTATCGGTATTTCGGTATTTTATTTTAAAATACCAAATACCATACCTAATACTAATTTTTTTAAAAACTTAAACCAAATACCATACCAAATACCAAAATACCGTATACCAAATACCAAAATATTTGGTACGGTAATTCGGTATTTACCAAATTATGCCCAGCCCTAAGTAGGACTCATTGAGACCCATCAGAAACTGATGAATCTTTTGATCTTCATCCAGTTTCTGAAACTTCTCTTTGCAGCCACAAACACAATCAGGATAGGAGATAGAAAATGAGAGTTCATCCCATAGCTTTTTGATTCTATTGAAATAGGAGGAAATACTGAATGTTCCTTGAGAAACAGATGAAATTTCCTTTCTAATATGATATATTTTGATACTACTGGCCTGCCCAAACCTCTTTTCAATTTCATTCCACAACCTTTCAGCAGATTCTGTGTACATAACAGTTTCCCTAATCTCTCGATCCAAATTATTAAGTATCCAAGCGACTACCATATTGTTGCATCTGGTCCAAGGCTCAAATAGAGGGGAATCAGGGCTAGGTTTCGGAATTGTACCTCTAATTATCCCTAATTTGTTCTTACAAGATAAACCTAGTAACATGCCCCTTCGCCAGCTCCCATAACTGGTACCACAAAATGTGCTAGAAACCAACATCGTACCAGGTGAGTCAGATGGCAAAAGATATAAAGGGGAAGAAGGAAGTACAATAGTCTCATCACTACCTACATTACTATCAATAGGAGTCGAAGTTGAACCCATAGTTCACTTAGGGTTTGTAACGACCCGATCAGTCGTCTCAAGAATTAACGCCTCAATCACCTATTACTATTTTCCCTTAGTTTATTTCTGCTATTTTGATTTGCTGGGATGTTCGGTTTTGAGTTTCGAAGAGTTTTGAGACACTTAGTCCCTAAATGAGAGCCTAAGTGTTAGAAAGTTGATAGTAGTCGGAACAGTATGAAGACGACCTCGGAATGGAAATCCGATGGTTTCATTAGCTTCGTTGGGTAATTTTGGGCTTAGAGGTGTGTTCGGATTGTGTTTTGGAGGTCCGTAGCTAATTTAGGCTTGAAATGCCGAAAGTTGAATTTTTGAAGTTTCTGGTTCGATAGTGAGATTTTGATCCGAGAGTCAGAATGGAATTCCAGAAGTTGGAGTAGCTCCGTCGTGTTGAATGTGACGTGTGTGCAAAATTTCAGGTCATTCGGACGAGGTTTGATAGACTTTTGATCGAAAGCGTATTTTTAGAGTTTTTGGAATTCTTAGGCTTGAATCCGATGAAAAATAAGTGTTTTGATGTTGTTTTGAGCGTTCCGAAGGTTTGAACAAGTTTGAATGAAGTTATGGAATATATTGGTAGGTTTGGTTGAGGTCTGGGGGGGCTCGGGATGATTTCGGATGGTTGACGGAAAGATTTTTGGAATTAGAGTTGCAACTTCAACTGTTCTGCTGTCATAACCGCACCTACGAGTGTGGGACCTAGGGTGCAGAGCCGCAGAAGCAGAATTTGGAGAGTTCAACAGGAACCGCAGAAGCGGTGGAATTTCCGCATGAGCGGTGCCGCATCTGCGGATGGGGAGTCGCATATGCGAAAACTGGGCCCTAAGTGAAAAGTCGCAGATGCGACCATTGTTCCACAAATGCAAGACTGCAAAAGCGGTCCCAAGACCGCAGATGCGGAAACAGCTGGGCAGAAATATGAAATTTCGAGGGTTTAGTTTCAAAAGATGGAAATTCGATTTGGAGCTCGGGAGAGGGAGATTTTGAGAGGAAATTGAAGAGAAGATCATTGGGTAACAATTCTTTAACCCTTTCTAGTTATATTCCATCAATATATAGTTAGTTTTATCATTTAATTTCGAATTGGAGATGAAAATTAGGGAAAAGTTGGAAGAAAGTTCTTAGACAAAAAATTCGACTTTTGATTGGGAATTTGACCTTAGATTTGGATAATTTTGGTATGCATGGACTCGTGAGGGCGTGAGGATTTTGAAAATATAAATTTTACCCGATTTCAAGACGTGGGCCCGAGGGGCGTTTTGGTTATTTTCCCTAATTTCACGTATTAGCTTAGAAGTTCTTTGTAGAATCAGTTACTTGAAGTGTTATTTACATTATGCAAATGAATTGAATAGATCTAGGTCATTTGGAGTCGAGTACTCGTGGCAAGAGCGTGGTTTCGGGTTGATTATTGAGCTAGTTCGAGGTAAGTGGCTTGCCTAACCTTGTGGGGGGGACCTTTCCTCTTGGATTTGGTATATTTGGTAATTGAAATGCCTTGTACGTGAGGTGACGAGCGCGTACTTGTGCTAATTATTGGAAATCCGATTTTTATTAAGTAATTACTAGTATGTTTCCTTTCCTGTTTTTATTACTCGCACTATTAAGCATGTTGTTAGCTTAGAAAAGCATGTCTAAGTGATTTAATTGCTTTATTTTCTCAAACTACCTTACCTGAATTTTGTGCAGCATGCTAGGCTAGAATTAATTGTTGCCTTAATATGACAATAGCCATTTCTGAATATTTTCCTGTTGCTGCTGCGTATTTGCATTGGGACTACGGATGTGGGATTCCGGTAGCTCCTCCTTGTCTTTTTATTTGGGACTACGAGTGTGGGATTCCGGTAGATCCCCCTTGTCTGTTTATTTGGGACTACGGATGTGGGATTCCAGTATATCCCCCTGCACAGTTATATGGAACTACGGGATTGAACCCAGTAGATTCCCCCAGTATTGAGTATTTATATTTGGGACTACGGATTAGGATTCCGATAGATCCCCGCGCACTGATAGTTAGACTATGGGACGGGATCCCGGGAGATCCTTCGGATATATATGATGGACTAAAGGACGGTATCCCAGGAGATCCACTGAATAGATGTAATTGGGACTACAGGATGGTATCCTGGAAGGTACCCCGGTTGTTATCTCTGTGTTGAGTTGTATTTCCTTTCCGAGATTATTTTGCCTCTGTTCTAGTTGTTGTTGCTCTTTCTATTCTATGTTATTTCTTACTGTTGCACCTAATTATACTGTCTTGTTCTACACTGTTATATTTTGTATTGTATTTAACCTCAGTAGGGCCCTGACCTTCCTCGTCACTATCCAACCGAGGTTAGGCTTGACACTTACTGAGTACCGCCATGGTGTACTCATGCCCCTTATGCGCATGTTTTTCATGTGTAGATCTAGGTACTGCGACTCAGTCCTATCACCCTTGAGGCGAGGCGGCTGCTCCAGCGACTTCGAGGTATATTTGTCGCATCTGCAGACCGAGGAGTCCCTTTCTATTCTAGCTTTTAAACATTTGCCCTTCTGTATTTCTTTTCCTTGTTAGATATTTTGGAGTTAGGGTACTGTGTAGTGATTCATAGGTTTCCGGGTCTTGGAGATATGTATTGGTTTCTGAGACTTAAATATTGTGTATGCCGAGCAACACTTTTAAACACTGTCTTATTACTCTAATTCTGTTTTAAATTGTTGTACTTCCGCAAATTGATTTATTTTCCGCAATTTAGGCTTACCTAGTCGTAGAGACTAGGTGTCGTCACGATAGTTCACGGAGGGCGAACTGGGGTAGTGACAAGGTTTCAGCAAAGAAAAAATTTACCCACACTCGATTGAATTGATTTAAAAAACGACAATAAGGGAACAACACTGATGAATTCTTCAAAAATACTTGAAGCAAATATGAAGAATCAGAATACTGTAAGCAGCAAAGAAGAAATTGATCGAAGACTTGTGATTCAAATCGAAACCCCTGACGATGGGTTAATCCATCGGAGAACAACCAAATCTTCACACAGCTACCGTGAAACCAACAGATTAGCTCCGATGAATTCTTGTAGTGGCTCTGATACCATGTTAATGCTCAGATTTATCGGATGGAAGCCATAGATTCAAGAACCCTAATTTGGCAACAAGAGTAGAGAGAGAAGATCTAGAAGAATCTGTTTATTGAATATGTTTCCATATAAAATATCTGTCTGTCTAATAATACACATAGACTAACTAATATATACAATTTGGGCTGCGTATCTTAAATTACACTTGAGACTAAATGTAAGATGGGCATGTTAACTAGGCTCATTACAATGTTCAGCTCCAACAAAGGGTGGTCTGAGGAAGAAGACCACGGGGAGAGGAGACAAAATATGAGATATTTTATGGGTTTCACGCGTGTTTTTGCGTGTAAAAATATGAGTACTACCTGGTCAAAAGTAGTGTGTCTTAGATATATTTTTGAAAGATTGAGTGTATAAAAGCTTTCCTGTGAACGAGAGGTGTGTAACAGAGATTTCGCTCCAAGTTTGNGACCTCAAGCAGCTCGTTTAGCAGCTTGCACTGCGGTATTCTTGGTGGCTACAGAAGGCGTCGTTGCAGCAATAGTTCTGATTTTGGTTCGTAAACTGTGGGGATATTGTTATAGCACTGAGGAAGAAGTGGTGGGATATGTAGCAGAAATGCTAGTCTTTCTAGCAGGATCCCACTTCTTAGATGGTATTCAATCTGTGCTTTCAGGTTTGTCCAAACTTTTAATACACAAGTTTCCCATTATTATGTTTTCAAGAATCTGAACTATGTTTCTTGATGTGTTTTTTTATAATTATAAAAAATCGGGGGGTAAGGGAGGGGGATATGGGGGAGAAGATAACAATTTATAAGGTTGGGAATTGAACCCTCACCAACTAGGTGAAAGCTGAAGTAGCCAACCAACCGAGCTATAAAGATTCCCCTTTCTTGATTTGTTAAAACAAGGCTTGAGGGTATAACAGATGATTAGATCAAATTGAAATCGGAAATCTAATGCAGCAGTTCAATTTGTTTCAGTTGCTCTGCTAGGATGATTTACGTTTCTTTGTCTATGATACCAGTTTCTTTAATGTTCAAGGAGAGTTAATCTATGGCCGATCCAGAATTTAGAAGTTGTAGGTTCTGAGTCAAGAAAGTGTGTTTTGAAATGTATATCTAACTATTTCTATACTTGTTCCGTGCACGCACACATACACGCACACACATACACATATATAAGGTTCGACCCCTAAACACTGAGTTATGCCATACCTGTCCGCCCATGGTTTGAATTCGTCAATAGAGATAAATGACCTTATCCCCTACCAAAATTCAGGTACTGCAAGAGGATGTGGCTGGCAAAAGATAGGGGCAGTTGTCAACTTGGGAGCTTATTACCTTTTCGGAATACCTGCTGGTGTTGTATTAGCTTTTGTCTACCATTTTGGTGGAAAGGTACTCTTTCAAGCTTCTCATTTTATTTGCATTTCTGACGTTGGAACTAGTCGAAAAACTTATAATATGGTTTGCAGGGACTTTGGTTGGGAATCACTCTTGCTCTTTTTGCGCAAGCTCTACTTCTTTTAATAGTTACTCTGCGCACAAATTGGGAAAAACAGGTAAAACTCTTTGGTAACTCAGCCGGATTGTTGAATTACTTAATTATATTATGTCTCAACACAGATCGCTAGTGAAGCTGGTGTTTGATTTGTTCTTTGAAAGGTTGAGTTGTATGAAATATAGTAATAATGCAACTCTAATTCTGTATTTTTTAGGCAAAGAAGGCAGCTAATAGGGTGACTTCAGAGCTAGCTAACAACAACAACAACAACAACGACCCAGTATAGTCCCACAAGTGGGGTCTGGGGAGGGTAGTGTATATGCAGACCTTACCTCTACCCGATGGGTTAGAGCGGCTGTTTCCGATAGACGGTGACTTCAGAGCTAGCTAACAGAGAAGAAAATGCAGAATGACATAATATGACAAGATACTAACAAGTTCATGTAATTCTTCTTGGCATCTTGTTGGCTAATTGACTATCTTACATCTCCAAAATCTGGAGATCTCTTAGGTTACAGGGCTCAGAGCTCACACTCGCGACGACTGGTTGATGAATTGATACAACAGTTTTTCAAGACTTGCCTCTATATCTTAGGATCAGAATCTTGAAGCTCCTTGCCTCGCACTATTATAACCACAAGATAATGTTCGAATTGGGGCTTTACGTTCGTAGAAATGATCAAGAAGTACTCCTTTGGACATTTTAAGGCTAGTATAAATCCTGGAAGGCAATTCTGATTGTCCAAAGAAATTGATACATTGTTATTAAAACTTATAATTACTATAAACTTACTTGGTTGAATTTACCTAATGCATTTACTAGAAGTCTCAGGGCAGCATATTCTATTTTGGAAATTAGCATTTCTTTATGTACTCTAGCTTTCCATTATTATTGCCACTCTAATCTTCTTTACATAAGCTTTCAAAGGTATGCCTAGGGCTTCGGTCTAGTGGTAATAGTGTCCTAAGTGATGTATGGATTGGGCGCACATTACGGCTTCGACCCTGAAGCAAACAAAAACTGGGTAGTATATGTTAATGCTAAATTTACTAATAACTTTAAATATCTTCTACTGCATCTTTACCCTTGGCCTCGTTAAACTCCTCAAGCCAGAGGCGGATTTAGGATTTTTATGACATGGGTGCACCACTAAAAAAGGAGAAAGAAGAAAGTATTAAGTGGGATTTAATCCCTGATCCTCTAGGTAATAACTAAACATTCAACCAAGTGCACCATTTAGCATGTTTGGAGCATGGGTGCCAGCAGATAATACTAGACCAATTCTAAAAAATATGTACATAAAATACCTAGTTTGATGGAAAGACCATGGGTTCATGTGACCATGTATTTGGCTATAAATCCCCCCTGCCTCAAGCTACAAAAATTGTCAAAACAATCATTTTTCTTTTCCACCAAAAATAGTTTATATATTACTAAAATAAGTCAAATGTCAACTAGGTGGTATCTATTGTTCACATCTACAAGGAGGCTAATTCGGTAGCTGATGGCTTGGCCAATTTTGCCTTCAGTCAAGATTCTCGTTTTGAATGGCATGCATTTGTACCTTCTAGCATTTCTTCACGTGTTGCCATTTGCCAAATATCATCTATATAGGAATATATTTACAATTTACGATAGACCCTTGTGTCCGGCCCTTCCCCGACCCCGCGCATAGCGGAAGCTTAGTGCACCGGGCTACCCTTTTACTTTCTCCAATGTAGAAGCCATTTGCCAAATATCATCTATATTTTATCCATTGGGACATCACTATCAGCTTTGGTTGGGCTTGGTTATAAATAATTCTATTTCTATCTTATGTCTGCCCCAACATAAGAAAGATTTTTTTATAAATTTGTCTTTACTTATGATTCCAAAAGTTTTAGCATAGAGATGACAAAAAGTGCAAAAAGATCTTTACTTAAATATATCCTGTTTCATTTCTTTTCTTTTTTACTAGTTGCTTAATATAAAACAAAAAATGCCAACATTCTGCCAAAAGGAATCAATCTTGAAAATGTTTGATTTTTCAACCTTTCAGTTTTAGCCATTTTTTGTGCTTTGTGAGCAAAGTTGAGGGAAAATGGATATTCAAGAGAGGGAAATAGACCTTGAGTGTCCACTAATATCAAAGTCAAGAAATGAGGAATCTAAGAGCAAGAGAAAATGTGATGAATTTTTTGAAGAAGTGAAGAAGTTGTTGGGATTAGCAGGGCCTTTAATGTCAGTAAATCTTTTGCTATATTGTTTACAGGTTATTTCTGTAATGTTTGTTGGTCATCTTGGAGAATTAGCTCTTTCTGGTGCTTCAATGGCTACTTCTTTTGCCACTGTCACTGGTTTCAGCTTGTTGGTAAGTCCTTTTTTTCAGTTCAGATTGTTGCTATGAAGGGGAGCATTGGCGTAACTCATAAAGTTGTTGCGAGCCGTGAAAACAGCTTCTTGCAGAAATGCAGGGTAAGGCTGCGTACAATAGACCCTTGTGGTCCGGCCTTTCCCAACACTGCGCATAGCGGGAGCTTAGTGCACCGGGCTGCCCTTTCATATTGCTGCTTTGATATGTAAATGTCCCAAAGGGAGTTAATGACCTGTTCTATAGTCCAAATTAGCTAAAAACATTTGTATCGAAAGTAACAAGCATGAAACTTAAGTTTATATGCTATGTGATATTTAACTACAACAACAACCCAGTGGAATCCCACAAGTGGGTCTGGGGAGGGTAGTGTGTACGCAGACCTTACCCCTACTCCGGAGGAATAGAGAGGTTGTTTCCGATAGAGGTAGTGTGTACGCAGACCTTACCCCTATGTGGTATTTAACTATTTAACATATACTTGTTGTGTATCTATTCAAGTTTATACAAGTTTATACAAGTTTATTTCTTTAAATGTTTGTCATTGTTTTAAAACGAATTTACTTTTTGATATCTGCATTTTGGATTCTATTTTGCTTGATCAGATGGGAATGGGAAGTGCATTGGATACAATCTGTGGGCAAGCATATGGTGCAAAGCAATATCATATGCTTGGCATTCATATGCAAAGGGCAATGATTGTTCTTCTTTTAGTAAGTGTTCCTCTAGCCTATATTTGGGCAAATGCAAGACATATTCTTGTAATCTTGGGACAAACTCCGGAAATAGCAGCCGAAGCAGGAAATTATGCACGTTTCATGATACCGAGCCTCTTTGCCTATGGACTACTACAATGTCAGATTAGGTTTCTACAAGCACAAAACAATGTCCTCCCTATGATGTTAACTGCAGGAGTCACTACTTTGCTGCATCTATTCACTTGTTGGATTCTCGTGCTCAAAACCGGCCTTGGCAATAAAGGCGCTGCTCTGGCTAATGCTGCATCGTACTGGATTAACGTGTTCTTGCTAGCTGCATATATTATGATATCGCCTTCTTGCAAAAGTACTTGGATGGGATTTTCAACCAAAGCATTTTCTGATATCCCGAGATATCTTAGACTTGCAATTCCTTCAGCCATTATGCTTTGGTAATCCTTAGTCACTTCTACTAATGAATGCATAGACATATAATTCCATTGAATGAATGAATTTGATTTTTTTTTTTAATGGATTCAGCTTAGAGAGTTGGTCATTTGAAATGATGGTTCTGTTATCTGGTCTTCTTCCTAATCCAAAACTAGAAACGTCGGTTCTTTCCATCAGGTTAGTTCTTTAACACATTACTATCAGATGCAGCATCATGTTCCTATGATATTTCGCCCGGGCTAATGTTACTGTTGTTTGCAATTTACAGCCTTAATACATCTAGTATGATATATATGTTGCCTTTTGGACTAAGTGGTGCCACAAGGTAATTTTCCTACTTACACATTTTCCTTCTCAAATCTTCTTTTACAGTTGACACTACCTTACTGTTTCTTACACTTCGGTTTTCTTCCTCAGCATAAGAGTTTCCAATGAATTAGGCGCTGGACGACCAAAAGCAGCTCGTGTAGCAGCGTATACTGCACTATTTTTAGCTAGTACAGAAGGAATTTTATTAGCAATATTCATCATTTCGGTTCGTAAATTATGGGGGCATTGTTATAGCAATGAGGAAGAAGTAGTAACGTATGTAGCGGAAATGTTAATGTTTATAGCAGGATCACACTTCATAGATGCAAATCAATCTGTACTTTCAGGTTTGTTCAAATCCTCTTTTAGACATTTTCCAACAATCTTATATTTCTGATAATATTTGCTGCCATGTGACCAGGAGGTCACGAATTCGAGCCGTGAAAATAGCCTCTTGCAGAAATGCAGGGTAAGGCTGCGTTACGATCGGCCCTTGTGGTCCAGCCTTTCCCCGGACCCCGCGCATAGCGGGAGCTTAGTGCACCGGGCTATCCTTATATTTCTAATAATGCAAGTTTTATATGCTAAAATCTCACTTCAGGTATTGCTAGAGGGTGTGGTTGGCAAAAGATAGGTGCAATTGTTAATTTGGGAGCTTATTACCTATGGGGAATTCCTGCTGGTATTTTTTTAGCTTTTGTATACCATGTTGGAGGAAAGGTACTCATTTATGCATTTCATTTTATTTGCAGTTTTTTTTTTAAAAATATATCTTTAAACAAAACTGATGATATTCATATTTTCTAATGGTGTTTAAAGGGACTTTGGTTGGGACTCACTCTATCCCTTTTGGCTCAAGCACTGATTTATTTAGTAGTTACTCTGAGAACAAATTGGGACAAAGAGGTAAATATATTTTTCTCCTGCTTCTAAAGCTTCACCATATAGAATGTTTACAGATAGAATCCACCAACACCAATGTTGCTCGGACTTTCCGAAAATATATCGATGGGTATCTGACACAAGTGCGGCAACTGTTTTGGAGAGTCTGCGCAACATAGACCAACAATGTAGACATTTTCTATACTACTAATATAATTTAATAGGTTTATGATTTACTTGAATAAGCATAAAAATAATATGATTGTGAAAACATTCTTTACTTCACCAAACTTGAACTCATTTTAGATATTGCAACTTTCCTCTGTCCTTTTATAGGCAAAGAAAGCAGCTGACAGGGTGACTCCAGAGCTAGCATAGAAGAAAATGGTAAAAGAAGAATGACAACCAGAACTAAGGCAAGAAGCTCACAAGTTCAGGGTTAGCAAATAATGTGAATATTGATTTGCATTTGTTTTGAACTAGTTTCGCATTTGTTTTCTAGTAAAAAAAGGATTTACTAGAGCCCTGTAGCATTCTATTCTTTGATTTCCATACAGTGAAAGTGATAAACTAAACAACAACAACGACGAAAAACCCAGTATAATCTCCCAAGTGGGGTCTGGGGAGAGTAATATATGCGCAGACCTTAACCCTACCTTGTGAAGATAGAGAGGATGTTTCCAATAGACCCACGACTCAAGTGATAGACCAAGAAGTGAGTAAATATTATTGTTGCTACTATGCATATTTCTGAAGAAACATGAAAACTATAAAAAAAAAAAAAAAAAAAAAAAAAAAAAAAAAAAAAAAACATGCCAGTGGAAGAAAAATAAGCAGGGGTTGAAATGTATTTTGTCCTGCCGACCTCAACTTGTTTGGGATTGAGGCGTAGCAAGTGTTGTTATTGTAGTGAATGTCGGTTTCGCTCAATAACATCAATGTTCACCTCAGAAGTTTGGAGAAATACATGGATAGACATTCAAACTTACCAATTATCAAGTAGATATTTTAACTATCCCACCAGAGGCAAAGTTGTTTTAGTTACAATTTTATCCAAACTCATAAGGAATTTTGTTTTGGCAAAGAACAAACACAAAACCCATTGAACTAAATCTAATACATCACATCCAATTATTCTAAACAATGATAAATGAGATTCTATGCTGCAGATTCTTGAGTCACCCTTTCTGCTGCTTTCATTGCCTACAAAAAACATAGCAGACATGCATTAAAAAAGGGCAGCCCAGTGCACTAAGTTCTCGTTATGCGCGGGGTCCGGGAAGGGCCAAACGACAAAGGTTTATCGTACGTAGCCTTACCCTACATTTCTGCAAGAGGCTGTTTCCACGGCTAGAACCCGTGACCTCCTGGTTACATGGCAGCAACTTTACCAGTTACGCCAAGGCTCCCCTTCATAGCAGACATGCGTTATTAACAATAATTCCTTGATCTTAATATTTCAAAGAAAAACAAAGAAATGAGAAAAGTAGAACAGCTAACTCAATGAAAGTAGCTGCATAAATTGGTGATTGAGATTGAAACAAGCCTCAGAATGAGCAAAAACCAAGCTTTACCTGTTTGTCCCAATCTGTTAGCAGAATAACAACTAAATAAATCAGTGCTTGTGCAGAATGGGCCAGAATGATTCCCAACCAAAGTCCCTTTAATACAATTGAAAAAGTATGAATATCATCAGTTTCGCCATAATTCTAAGTAACAACGAATAAAATGCAATGAAAATAAAATGCGTGATAGAATAATACCTTTCCTCCAAGATGGTAGACAAAAGCTAACACAACACCAGCAGGTATTCCCCACAGATAATAAGCTCCCAAATTGACAAATGCGCCTTTCTTTTGGCACCCACACCCTCTAGCAATACCTGAACAAGGTTCGGGAGTTAGTAGACTGCTCAAGATTTACTTGGCCTATACGCTATAATTTTCCAGGATGGGTGTTCAGCTAACCACCCTTCGCTGGCTATAGCTCTGCCTTGTTTCATAGTTAATGAAATTAGGGTATAAGAGTTGCATTATTGGAAATATAGATCCTTGGAAGCGGTTTTGGACAAACCTGAAAATACGGATTTATGTGCATCGAGGAAGTGGGACCCAGCCTCTCTGCCCCTCGGGTAGGGGTAAGGTCTGCGTACATATTACCCTCCCCAAACCCCACTTGTGGGATTATACTGGGCCGTTGTTGTTGTTGAGGAAGTGGGACCCAGCCTCTCTGCCCCTCGGGTAGGGGTAAGGTCTGCGTACATATTACCCTCCCCAAACCCCACTTGTGGGATTATACTGGGCCGTTGTTGTTGTTGAGGAAGTGGGACCCAGCCTCTCTGCCCCTCGGGTAGGGGTAAGGTCTGCGTACATATTACCCTCCCCAAACCCCACTTGTGGGATTATACTGGGCCGTTGTTGTTGTTGAGGAAGTGGGACCCAGCCTCTCTGCCCCTCGGGTAGGGGTAAGGTCTGCGTACATATTACCCTCCCCAAACCCCACTTGTGGGATTATACTGGGCCGTTGTTGTTGTTGAGGAAGTGGGACCCACCTATGAAGAATTAACATTTTCCCTACATATATCACTACATCTTCTTCATTGCTGTAGCAATGGCCCCAGACATTACGAATCGAAACCATGATTATAGCTAGTAGAATCCCTTCTATGGTAGCTAAGATCGTTGCAGTACGTGCTGCAAGACGAGCTGCTTTTGGTTGTCCAGCTCCCAGTTCATTAGAAACTCTTACGCTTGTAGCCCCACCTAGTCCTTCAGCCAACATATGTAACATCGCAGATGTATTAAGGCTGGAAATTAAGTACAATAGTAACGTTAGGCTTGTCGAAATATGATACAAAACATGATGTTGCATGTGATGGTAATTTGTGACAAAACTAACCTGATTTGAAAGAACTGAAGTTTCTAGTTTTGGATTAGGAAGAAGACCACACAAAGTCACCATCAGTTCAAATGACCATATCTCCAAGCTGAGTTTCAAAAGATGGAAAGAGTCAGATTTATATGTCATAAACTGGAATTATGAATATATTCAACAACAACAAAAAACCCAGTTTAATCCCATAAATGGGGTCTAGGGAGGGTAGTGTGTACGCACACCTTACCCCTACCTTATAAAGACAGAGAGGTTGTTTCCGATAGACCCTCGGCTCAAGGAACAGTAGAGATAAGATAAAGAAGCCAAGTAGTAAACAAAGGTGACAACAATGCATTATGGTTTCTTTAGGGTGTTCAAATTTGAAAGAAGTGAAAAAATTCCCCGACAAAGAGTGTTCAATATATGTTATACCTATAAAATCTAATGTTTTACCTATATACCAGTGTAATTTTCCGACGAAGGGTGGTCGGTTGACCACCCTCTCGGACATGTGGCTTCCCCCCTGATGGTGACGGGCGTGAATGACATAACAACAACAACAAACACAACTTGTAATAATAAAGCACCATGACGAATTATGAATATATTCATTACTTATTTATTGAAAGCAACTGAGAATTACCATATCATAAGAGCTGAAGGAATGGCTAATCTAAGATATCTTGGGATATCAGTAAATGCTTTAGTTGAGAATCCAGTCCAAGTACTTTTGCACGAAGGCGATATCCTAACATACGCAGCTAACAAGAACACATTAATCCAGTAAGATGTAGCATTAGCTAGAGCAGCACCTTTACTACCAAGTCCGGTTTTGAGCACGAAAATCCAACAACTAAAAACATGCAACAACAGAGTGATTCCTGTGCTTAACATCATGGGCCGGACATTGTTTTGAGCTTGTAGAAACCTAATCTGGCATTCTAACAATCCGTAGGCAAAGATGCTCGGTATCATGAAGCGTGCATAAAGTCCTGCTTCGGCTGCTATTTCAGGATCTTGTTTCAAGATTACAAGAATATGTCCTGCATTAGCCCAAATACAAACAATAGGTATACTGACTAAGGTCTCCTGGAAACAGTCTCTCTACCCTTCGGGGTAGGGGTAAAGTCTGCGTACATATTACCCTCCCCAGACCCCACTTGTGGGATTATACTGGGTCGTTGTTGTTGTTGTTGTAGGTATACTGACTAAAAGACTAACAAACATTGCCCTTTGCATATGAATGCCAAGCATGTAATGGTGCAAAGCTCCATATGATTGACCACAAAGTGTCTCCAGTGCACTTCCCATTCCCACCTGATCAAGCAAAATAGAAGCGAAAATAGAATCAAGACGACTATCGCATAGCTAAAGAATCGTAAAATGGGATAGATGAAGTAAAAGAAAGACTAACCAACAAGCTGTAGCCAGTCACAAAGGCAAAAGAAGTAGCCAAAGAAGCACCAGAAAGAGCTAGCTCTCCGAGATGACCGACAAACATAAGAGAGATTACTTGTAAGAAATATAACAGAAGATTTACTAACATTAATGGCCCTGCCAATGCCAATAACTTCTTCACTTCTTCGAAAAACTCATCAGATTTTCTCTCATTTCTTGAGTTGGGAACCTGTGGACACTCCTCAAGATCTTGTTTCCTTTCTTGAATATCCGTTTTGCCTACGAACTTTGTCTCACAAAACACAAAATGGCTTAATTTGATGTTCAGAGTCAGAAGAGATGATAAAACTGCAGAGGCGAACCTATGCTATATAAAGAGCGGTCATCAGCACCCGTAAAGTTCAGCAAAAATTCTATGTATACATGTATATATTTCTTTCGGAAATAGTGATATTTTAGTTGTAGACACTCTATATACAAAGCAAATTTTGGTTGAATCCAAAAGTGCACCACGACCTTCAAATCCTGAGTCCGCATCTACATAAAAGTGTTAAGAGGTTTAGTTAGCTTAAAGAATATTCGATTATTAATATGATATTCAAGTGCTGATACTACAAAGGGTATTTATAGTGTGCTAATTGGATTTATTTTGTCCTTATGTAAGAAGAGGAAGAAAAGATAATGTCAAAATAATTAGGAATGATAACCCTTATATAATAAGGAAACTTACACAAATGTCCCAAATAAATCTCAACTTACCAACATCTAGCCATTAGTCATAGACTTACTAAAACTAGCCAACGAAAATTGAAAAACCAAATAATAGGATTCTTTCTCTCAAAGAATCACATGCAAAAATAACCTTCCATATTTTTAAGCGTGATTAGCAACACTAGATACAAGACGGAAAGAAAATTTCACGGATGAGGTGGCAAATAAGGTGATCAAATACAAAAATATATACAATATTCCAAAAATCTAAAAAAAAAGGAACTTTTTCAATGGGTATAGTTGAAATTCATTGAAAATATATAGATAAGTCAATATACAAAATTTGAGGAAGATTGGAGGTGATTTGGACTGGTTTTGTATCAAAATTCGTAATTAAATCGAGTTCAAAAAAGTCTTCTGCGACACATGTATCAAACATGTATCACGCATATATCTCACACACGGGTATACATGGATATACATGTGATACATAATTGATACACAAATGATACACAGTGTGATACACATATAATTTTTTTCATGTTCAGTTTTTACTTCGAATTTTCAATTCAAACCACCTCAAAACTTCACCAAATCATCCTAAACTGAGATCCAAGCTTCTTAAGTTGTGCCCAATCTATTCTAATAACACCCACTCAAAACAAAGCAAAATTTTGATATTTTTTTGCTACAAATAGCTAATTGGCTAATTTGGCTAATATTAGTAATATTTTATCAATTGGCCAATTTTTGTAATGAGCTACTTATAAATGGACATAGCTGATAATTTCCCTATATAATATTAGGTTAAACAAGTCTTAATTATGGGCCAATCAATCATATAAATTGATGGGCTTTCTACACATAAAATGCCCGTTTGATCATAAGAATTTTTTCACTTTTTTCGGAATCAGTGTTCGGCTATGAAATTTTCAAATTTCATTTGAAGTTGAATTTTGGAATTTTCGAAAATTTGAAAAACTCCAAAAAGCTGTTTTTTAAAATTTTCACTTCAACGCACTCACAAAATTTCAAAAACAGTTCCAATATCCAAAAGAAACTTTAGTTTTCAAATACAATTATCACTTAAAATTTCTTTTTCACTTTTTTCAGAATTTTACAATTCTCATGTCCAAACGCCCACAAAATGGTTATAATTTTTTTTAACTAAGTTATATCTTAGTATGTCAATTTATCTACCCTTAATAGGTAATATAATAATAATTGGGTCTTCTACCTAATTATTATGTACAGTAAATTTTCTAATCATTGGCTCTTTTACCTAATTGTTAGGTAAATGTTATAAATTGCATTGGTGGATATGTCCATTCACACTTATGCATGTAAACTATTAGACTAATTAACTTTTGTAACTCGGGTAATTTTTCATCCTATAAAAAGTGTTCTGCCTTTTGTGTTGTGTATTTATTTCATATTAACGAATTTTAAAAATTCACATAAAAATCCTTTAAAAAATTTCTTGAGTTGTAAAATAAACATTAAAGGAATAAAAATGAACAATCTAACTCATAATATGAATATATTTTAATTTTGTCACAAAAAAAACGGGTGAATAATATAAACTGGCAAAACTCAAATAGTTCGAATGGTCTAATTAAATGTCAAAGCCATATGCTAGCTAATTTAATTCCCACTGCCATAATAATTAATATATCCTCACTATTTTTCTGTCATTTCATATTTAAAGTTATCTTGACAGTCATAAAAAGATAATAATGCCCAAGAATACAATTACTCGGGAGAAATTAAAAAATAATCAGATTTATAAGTGGTCATTCAAAAATAGCCACAGTTTCAAAAGTAATCAAAATTTGGTCACTTTTAATGTAAAGATAAATCTGAATGAAAATACTGCTCAAAATCCGAAAAATACTCCAGCATAATATACTGAACTTCCACCATAATATACTGGAGTTCCAATATAATATACCGGTCCAACATAATATATTAGAAGTTCATACAAAGGTGCTCCAATCTCCAGTATACTATGCTAGAACTTTCCGCATGTTGGAGTTCCAGCATAATATGCTGGAAGTTCATACACAGGTGCACTGATCTCCAGTATATTATGCTGGAACTTTCCGTGTTGCGGCAAAATAGTGGCTATTTTTCAATGACTTTGCAAACGCTATTTTTGAATGACCAGTCCGAAAACTGGCTAGCCCGTGCTCTTTCACCAATAACTTTGTAGATGAAACACTACATCGACAACAATAATAATAAACTCAATTTTAGTATAAGTGGGGTCTGAGGAAGATAGTATATACGTAAATCTTATCCCTACCTAGAAAGTAAAGAGGTTGTTCCCGGCAGACCCTTGGCTCAAAAAACGATAAAAAAGAAAGCAGTATAAGTAACAAGCAATAATAACAAAATTTAGTTTATTATTATGAAAAGTTCCATTTTCGTTGGAAAGTTATGATTTATCCGATATGAAAACAACAGTTTTGCAATTATATTCAAGATTAGTGAATTTACTCGCACATCGCGCGATTAATAAAAGATTTAAATAATTTTTTTAATACTTGTATATTAAAATTATATTAGTCATAAAATCTAAATGTATTAGATTTCAAGTTTTAATCAATTTTATATTAACATATGATTTTATATTTTTCAGTTTTTTTTTTATTGGGGTTTTATTGTCAGATAGCTAATTCTTTTTCTTAATAACGTAAACGTATATACGTGATGCTATACCTATTTCTTATCTTTTACCTTTTAATCTTTTCTTCTTATTTTCTCCCTTACTTTCCTAACCATTTATTTTCCAGAAAAAATGGTCAAATATGAAAATACAAACTCAAATATAAATTGCAGAAAATAGTCCAAAAAAGTTGACCTACTGATATTGTCGAGTCTCAACATATTTAATCTAGCATGAAAACATTAAAAAATCCTGCATTGTTGACTCACTCATCAGAGGCGTACGTAGTGTTATAGTACCGGATTCATTTGAACCTAATATTTTTAACGCATAATACAAATTTGGTGTAACAAATTATTGAAATTATAACACATAATGGGTCTGAATCCATAACTTTTAAAATATAATAGGTTTCTGCAATGAAAATTAAAGCCTCACCTGTATTGGCTTTGACGAATTGCCTCATGTCCAAGCTATGTGGATTGGTTTAAAATGAAAGTGGAAAACGTGATAAAATTGTGAGTAATTAAAAAGAAGATGACATTGGTGAATATAACAAATAAACTTTAAATTTTGTTTGAGAGTACACAGTATAAAGCTTTATGAGTTGGATTTTACTCACTGTTGTGTGTCCTTTGAAAGTAGGAGTTACGGGTGTAAATGGTTCGGTTCGGCTGGTTATTTTATAAAATTTGTATCATACTAATTTTTCGATTATTCTATTATGTATAATTAAAATTAGACTTTTCGAAACCGTTCCAATCATGTCGGTTTCTCTTCGGTATCGGTACTGTTCGGTTAATTTTCAGTATTTTTTTAATATCATGTAAATTCACCAGTAGAAGTAGAATTGCAATAATATATGTTCTTTTATAGGACTTAGCAAAACTCTCTAGACATTTTTACTGTTTAAAGGGTGATGATTTTAAAAAAAAAGATGGCTAGAGTATAGATCCATCAACTATTCTACAACAGCGTAAAAGAAATCAAACAAAGGCAAATAAAATATTAATCATACGAGTTGAAAGATATACCAAGCTAGGACGACTCAAGAATAAATTCTATAGAAGATTAAATATTCAAAAAGATAAATCTAAATTATATGAAAGGAAATATATTCCATACATTGTAGTTTGCTACTCATAATCGTTAGAATACTTTGTGTCTTGCTAATAAAGATACTTGAAATAACTTAGTTTAAGTAGAAGTAGCATAATAGGTTTTAGGAATTAGTATTTTGAGTTTAATTACTTGTTGGCTTGTAATAGTTTTCATAATTCCAAGGCTCAAAGAAAATTTAATGCATTATTATTTTAAACTTACTAAATAAATATATTTTCTACATATAAAATTTATTCGGCGCGGTTCGGTATTTTTTCGGTTTATTCTTATAAAATAAAAAACATACCCTAATTATCGGTGCGATTATATATTTATATAAAAACCTACGATTTCTTAAAAAGAAACCTAAAAATCGGTTCGGTGCGGTACGGTTCGATCGATTTAGTCGATTTTCGAATATCCATTAACACCCCTAGTAGGAGTTACTTTTATTAATTGTTGCAATCTTTATAAATCCTTTAAATCATACAACAGCAGTTACGTTTATTAATTGTTGCAACCATTATGCATCCTTTAAAATTGCAATCGTGCTAATTTATTTAATCAGAAACAAAAGAAAATGGCAAAAAATTGAGAAAAATATTTGATCTAGTGCCAAGTCACCTTTTGAATTCCCTTCTTTATATATATGCTAGTAAATTTATCCGCATTTCGTGATTTAGTAAAAAATATTATTGAATTTACAAATAGTTTTTCATAATACCCAATTATTAAATATGTTAAAATTAAAGTTTATATATTTTTGGATTGAAATTCCTAATCCATATTGTAAAACTTTAGTTGTAAATATAACTCTAACTTTCTACTTTTGTGTAATCAATATATATAGGTACACTAATATTTTTTATTTTTCTTAAAATAAGGTAAAGTAATAACGTAATTTGAAGAAAATGTTTGCTTTAAACTACATCTTTTGGAAATTTTTTATCTTTATTTTTTCTTTCCTTTTCCCTTTATTTTACCTTTTTTGTTTTTTTTTTCTTCTTTCCGCACTTCCGTTTCTTCTGCTCTAACTTTCTGGTCACCTTTCCTAACTAATCTAAATATTTAACTCTAAAAATAATACCTCAAAATCGTTAAATTATATAAGTAAAATTACATAATTCTCAAAAATTATCTGCTCATTTTATTTAACCTATACCCATTTTTTAAATTTTTTTTAACTTGTACCCAATTCTTAAATAACTTCAGCCCCCTTTCTCCTCCTTCTTCTCCTCCTCCGTTTTCTTCTTCTTCTGAAATAAATAGCTAAAATATGCAAACAAGCAAATTGAAAGAAAGGAACTCCATCTCATCACAGCTAGATGCCAACAAGGAGTTCTCTCTAATCAGATACCATATTACTCTATAAAACTTCAGTAAAGTTATCTAAACAAAATCAAAGTACAGAATATTGTGGAAAAGGATTGGGTAGCCAGCACGATCATTATACAATTTCTGTGTAAAACATAGCGCTTATTTTCTGGTTAATATTGTTTAGTCGTTGACGTGAAAACAACGAAACAGAGAAATAATGCACTTGATTTACAAATAGTTAATTGCATTGTCAATACAGCAATTGAAAGAAATGGTTGAATGCTAATAGCTGGTGAAGGCTTCATCAATTGGATCAATGGAGAGGGGCAAATCCAATGGCTTCATATAAGAGTTAATTTTACCCAAGCTTCAGCTCTAGAGCTGAAGTTTCCCAGTCACAACACAGAAACTTCAGCTCTAGAGCTGAAGTTTCCCAGTCACAACACAGAAACTTCAGCTCTAGAGCTGAAGTTCGCCAGTTACAAAACAAAAACTTCAGCTCTAGAGCTGAACTTCAGGCCCGGCTACTAGAATGTTGAAGTTTTGCGTGAGTGCCTTTGCTACTTCAGCCCCGTGTGCTGAAGTTATGCGAAAAAAGCGGGTACGATTGCAAATTTTTTTTTTGCAAAGCGGGCACAAGTTAAAATACAATACAAAAGCGGGTATAGAAATGCCCCCAAAATCACGTAAAAGGCCCACATTTTTTCCCACAAAGAAAAAAATAAGCAAGGAAAACGAAGAAATAAAATCAAGAACTTTAAATAAATATCTCAGGGACAAAACATTCAGTCATCATGATTTTCAAGTTTCATAGCAAGATAAAAGAAAGAAAAATTTATACAAACATTGATGAGCTTCATAGCAATTCTCTAAGTAAAGTATGGTGAGCTTGTACGTACAAACATTGATACAAAGAACATGTCAAAAAGGGTTAAATTTAATACTCTTTCAATTTCCAGAAGAGATGTACAAAATTTAAATTTAACATTTAAATATATTATAAAAAAGACACATTAATGGGAAAAATCTTTTCATAGAAGATAAGATGGGAAAAGAAATGCTATTGATGATGAGAGTAATGCCTTACAAATAATTAAATAAGATATAAATATGATTAAATTGTACATGATGGTATTATTCAGGAGAACAGGAGAGACTAAACGGCATGATTATTATTCCCNGTGTGTGTGTGTCAAATTGATGTACATCATATTTATATTTTAACCCGAGGACCACGGGTTCACGTGAACCACATTTTACACTTTGGATCCGCCTCTGAATGTATCTTATTGTACTGTATCATTTTGATGTATACAATGTATGGATAGATTGTATTGTTTTCGTTGTTTCATGATGTTATGCACCAATAATATGAAGAATAAACTTTTAATATTATAAAGAAAAGAATACGGTACAAGGTAGAATTATTATATAAAGAGGTAGGATAAAGGATAAAATAGGATTATTTAATAATATGAAAGGGCAAGACGAGAGGAAAAAAATAAGGTGACGACACAACCACACTAAATCGGTCATTCCATAAATACTGTTTATCGAGAATTTTTTTTACTTCTTTTAATTTTAAATATTGTTGAGAAAATTCCTGACTTCGTCACTAATGAGAAAATACTTTAAATATGTTTCTTTTGGTCACTAACAAACTACTTCTTTTTATAAAATTGAGTATTTACTTTAAAAAAATTATTTAGGCCAAACAGACCTCAAAAAAATTCCACCCTTCTCAGTATATATGTTAAAACAAAAAATCTTTTTCTACTAAATTTTATTTTGTTCTTTCGTAAGAAGAGGCATAAAAGATGATGGCAAAATAATTAGGAATCACAACCTTTCACATAACAACTCTTGATTATGGGTCAGTCAATCATATAAAATTAACTGACACATAGAATGAATATACAGTCAAACCTCTCTCTAGCAACCACGTTTGTTCCGATATTTTTTGACTGCTACAGTGAAGTGTTGTTATAGATAACATATATTATAACATAACATAAAAATCGATTCCGAAAAAAAAAATGACTTCTATAATGAATGGTTGATAGAGATGTTGTTATAGAGAGGTCTGACTATATTTTTTCGGGGTATTATAACTTTTAGCCCGCGCCAGAAACTATTTACATCTGGTAGCCGAAAAAAATGTATAAAAATTGTATACTTTTTGTATATAACATACAGACTGTATATATATATACAAAATACATAAATTTTATATATATTTTCGTCTATTATTTTTACAACGGCTATACTGTGTCATTTTTCATATTTTTCTGACTAAATGATATTTTAGCAAGCTAATTTATCTTTAACCTTATTATTATGGGACGTAATAGTTGGTTCTTTATTAGGATTTAGGTTCCTCCTCCATCACCACCATTATTAAAAAAAAAAATCCAAACATTTCTAAATTATTTAACTTTCACACACAAAGAAGTTCAAAAAAAAAAAAAAAATTATCAGTGAACTGACCTAGGTTTACGTCCAAATTTTAGTGTTAATAAATATTCGACTTGGAACAAGAAGATTCTTTATCAGATGACGAATTTAGAGCCATCTTCTTCAGCTACTTCTCCGATGGTGCTGCCACGGTCGCCGAGGCACTCATCATTCAGTGGCGGAGGCAGAATCTCCACGAAGGGAGTTCAAAAAAAAAAATTGTAGCTAGTGGGAATTGAATTCATGACCTTATGTAGATTTTGAACCCCCTTGATCACTAAACTACACTTTTGGATTGTGTTAAGGAGGTTCAAAACTTAATATATAGAGGTAAAAATCAGATTTTGCCTTATATATACAGTGTAATTTTTCGGCGAAAAGGGTTCGGGTGAACCCCTTGCGCCCCCCTAAATCCGCCCCTGTCACCATTGCCGTACTTATTCTATGAATTAGCAGCTATTTTAGGGTTTATTGTTTTTGTGTTATTTGTTTCAGCAGGTGCGTATAGGAAAATTTCGAGGTACCTTGAGAATAATGAAGGTGAAAATGGAGATGATATTGAAGCTGGAGAAGGGAATAATAATGATAATGGATCTGATGTGAAGGTTGCACTACCAGTTTTTGAAGAGAAGTTTTTGGTTATTATGGCTGGACAAATGAAGCCAACTTTTATTGCTACACCTATATCTAGTAGGGTTTCATCTTTTGGTAGCTGCAGTAGCGGTTGTACTACGAGCAGTGAGAGTAGTACAAAGAAATCGGAGGGAGAAGAGGATGAAGGGAAAAAATAAGAAAATGGTGTCTCGAGTTTGAGTCCAGAAAATGAAGAAAGTGCTTCTGACAAGGAGCATGTGCCCCCTTTAACGAACTCTACTAGGCGCAAATGCAAATTAATTGAGTCAGTAAATTCATCATAAAAGTGAAAATTGTTAGCATGGTGAGCCATGACATCATAACAACATAAATCAGGTCCTTTAATTAAATAAAAAAAGAGTAATTTACTTTTAAATTTTTGTATTTTCTTCTTTCTATGGGTATGGAATTAGGCATTGGGGCTTTGGAATGAAGCATGGGATTTGTAACGACCCGAATCGTCGTTTCCTGTATTTTCGTCCCGTATTCCCCGTTAAATGCTTATTCATGTTTCAATATGTGTACTTGGTGAATTTGAGTCAATTCAGATCGAGTTTGGTATGAATTGGGACAATTAGTCTCTTTAAGGAAGAATTAGTTTGGAAAAGTCAACCGGACGTTGACTTGTGAGTTAGAGGGTTCGGAATTGAATTTCGATGATTCGGTTAGTTTCGGGGGATGATTTAAGGCTTAGGAGCGCAATCGGAATTAATTTTGGAGGTCCGGTGAAGAAATTAGCTCATTTTGGCGAAGTTAGTATTTTGGCAATTTCCGGTTGATAGGTGAAATTTTGATCCGACGGTCGGAATGGAATTCCGAGAATTTCTGTAGCTT